TTGATTGGCATTCTTGGATCATGCTTTAGAAATTTCCAGAATCAATTGATCGATGATCTATTTCTATAAAAGGTGCGATCGTCGTTATCCATTTATGGTATATTCCCGGACTGTACTGGAATGTGTACATACCAATAACAAATATAATACAGGTTATATAATGATCATTAATCAAGATTTTTTATATTATAGTAGATCAGCGTTAATTTAATAATAAATTATAGAAATGCATAGAATGCTCAAGCTACAATAACTCTTGAAATTATATTTGCCAGGTTCGTTACAATGTGCTCTTTAATGTAATAATACTCTTTTTTTATTTCTACTTTCTGAAGCATAGCAGAGAAAATAAAATAATATCAAAATTCTTGTTTTTGATATATTATTAATAAAAACATCAAAAATGTAACTTTGAATTTTTCTGTGCATACTGTGACACAATATGCAGTAGTTACATTTTTGATGTTTTGATTAACGATAAATCAAAAATGAAAATTCTTAGAGTTCCCTGCTATGCTCCATGCAATATAAATAAAAAAACACGTTATTACATTAAAGAGCACATTATAACGAACATGACAAATATAATTTTATTTATGTGGATTTGCTGGTTCAAGAGTTATTGCAACTTGAGTTCCAATACCATATAAATAACAACGACCAAGATTACTCTGTCCTAAACTATTTCCATTATTAGCAGACTTCGTATAATAAAAGAATGCTCTGCTTTCATTTTTCAAAATTCCAATACCATGTTGATAACAATAACCCAAATCATTTTGACCTAAACTATTTTCACCTCTTGCAGACATTTTATAATATCTAAAAGCTTTTTTTTCATCTATTGAAGTTCCTATACCAAATTGATAACAATAACCAAGATTACGATAACCTAAATAATTACCATTTTCAACAGATTTACTAAACCATATAAAAGCTAAACCACTACTTTTAAAAGCTTTTTCACCAAATTGATAACTATAGCCAACTGCATTTTGAGCTCTTGCATTTCCTTCCCTTGCAGATTTTAAATACCAATCAAAAGATTGAGAATGATCTTCATTAACACCGTAACCATAATGATAACAATCACCAATATAACATTTTCCTAAAATTGAACCTCTAACAACAGATTTTAAAAATAATTGAAAAGCTTTTTGTTTGTTTACTAAAACACCTTTTCCGTATATATAAAGAGTACCGAGAGAGATTAATCCAATGAATTGATTTGCTTTTAATAAATCATCAGTAATAAGATAATAATCTTCCTTATTTAAAGAATAGGTAAAACGAAATTCATCAGCGGCTTTCTTATACATATCAAAAGCTTTATAATAATCAACACTAGTTCCAATTCCATATTCATAAAAGAAACCAATAATTCCAGTAAAGCAAAATCTAAATTGATTATTATAATATAAATTGAAAACCTCAAATGGACATTTGTCACTATCATTTATATAATTTAGTATGCAATGAACAATCGAAGGTGATGTAATTTCTGAAATTCCTTGAAGATTAAATTGAGATATAAATAAATTATTTAAATCGAAAAGAAATCTCAATAAATCATTATCGAATAATTGCTTCGTAATAATTGAAGGAATTTTTTCAGGAACATTTTCGGGAAAGTTTAAAATTGAAGATGAATTAACAGGATCTTCGGCTAAAGCGTTTTGGAGGGTTGTAATAACCGAAGAGATTATCCCTAATTCTTTGATTATTTCATATTGCAAATCAATATAATGTTGTAATAAACTTGTTGTATTTGAATTTTCTATTTTTGAAATAGGTTTCTCTTTATGTTCTTTATTTCTAACAGATTCTGTAATAATTTCTTCATAATTGTAATGAATGTCATTTAGATGATTGAAAACTTGTTGAATAGTTGGACGTAACTTAGAACCGTATCTCCAACATTCTATAAATAAATAAATGAATAAATGAAAAAATTAAATATATAATAAAAAAAAATTTTAAAAATAAATTTAAATTACCTGTGTATATTTTAACATATTTTTTAGGGGTTCCAGATATAGCATCTTCACGTTTACCATGAATTATCGCATTTAATAAATTAAAGCAATAAGATAATTCTGATTTAAATGGTACAACACCACTTGAAATTTCCCAAAGAACAACACCAACACTATAAACATCAGAACTTTTATTAAGCTTGTATATTTCGTGATTTTCTAAGTATTGAGGATCTGTATATTGAATTAATTTGAACTTATTCATAAATCTGTTTCGATATCGAAAAGCACCAAATTCATTTAATTTTATATTTCCTTTGTGAACGAAAATGTTTTTCGAATTCTAAGTGAGTAAAATAAATGTTAAAATAAATTAAAAAATAAGAAAATAAGAAATAAAAGTAAAAAAAAAAAAAACAAGAATTTGAATTTAAAAAAGACAAATTACCAAATTCAAATGAACAATATCATTTTCATGTAAACACTTTATTGCACTAACAAGCTGTTTGGCCAGATTCAACTTATCGTTCCAGTTAAGCATATAGAAATTTCTGTTTAAATATTGGCTAAGTGTTCCATCATTAGCATATTCATGAATGAACATAATTTCATGAGTGCTTTGCTTAATGATGCCTATGAATTTTAAAATATTTTCATGTAATTCTACCTTCTGATATTGCCTGAACTAAAGAACAAAGATGTAAATGTTTAGTAGGCATTTCATATGTAATGATACCTTTAGAATAAAATCAAAATTTACATCACTAATAAAGTCTTTTATCGTATAATTGTTTGAGAAAGATATCATGCTTA